GTGTTAAATCTAATTTCAGATCATGTTAAGTCTAATAACAGTTCATGTTAAGTCTAATCTCAGTTCATGTTAAGTCCAAGTTGATTCGTGTTAAGTCTAATTTCAGTTCATGTTAAGTCTAATAATAGTTCATGTTAAGTCTAATTTCATGTTGAGTCCAACTTGATTCGTGTTAAGTCTAATTTAAGATCATATTAAGCAAAATACCAGTTCATGTTAAGTTCGATTTGATTCATGTTAGACTATTTTAGATCATGTTAAGACTAAATTTAATTCTTGTAAAGTCCAATTTAATTATTGTTAAGTCTAATTCTATTTCTAATAAGTATAAAATATTTCATGTTAAGTCTAATTTTAATTCGTGTTAAGTCTAATTTCATTTCATATTAAGTCTAATTTTCATGTTAATTCTATTGTTTGTCATGTATAATCCTAATTTCTTTTTTATTACAACCCCTCTATTACTTGGATTACAACATTCACTCTACTCCCACGATCCAAAATATTACATGCTATTTTTGATATTTTTTGAAAAATATACCGTCGTCGGCATAGAACATCTATTGATTCCTATGGTCAGGAACGATCACTGGCATCTAGTTGAAGTTTTTTTGAAAGAAAAAATCGTTACAAATTATAGTTTAGCTAGACATTCGTCTTACATGGAACCTATTAAAAAATCATAATTTTTTTGGACCTCATGCAAGTTGATTTTGATAAAAAAAAGAGTGCGCGGAGAATTCAGATATCAAGCCATCAAATATGAGCAACAAAGAGGGAGGTTAGTATCATGATTAAATTCTCTATCTAAAAAAATAACAAAAAACTAATTTTATATTCTCACGTTGCAATTATGTGGTGTGTTCGTCTACCTTTATATACAAGCAATAATTCTTGGCCGCTCGACATTGCGCATGCCTCCTACCAATGATCCCCCTGAAGTTATGCGGGTAAGACTTGCTGTAGAGATACTAATTGATGGACGTGAACAAAGACAGAAAGACGGAACACTACACGAAGATGAACAGAGTTTATAAGTAAATATGTATATTTAAGTCTAAAAATGTATATATATTGAACAGGAAATGACTAATATTGAACATGATGTGATATTTAATTCATGTTAAGTCTAATTTCAGTTCATGTTAAGTCTAATAACTATTTATGTTAAGTCTAATTTCATGTTAAGTCCAACTTGATTAGTGTTAAGTCTGGTTATATGAAATACCAATTCATGTTAAGTCCAATATGATTCATGTTAAGTCTAATTTCAGTTCATGTTAAGTCTAATTTCACTTCATGTTAAGTCTAATTTTACTTCATGTTAAGTCTAATTCTATTTCTAGTCAGTCTAAATTATTTCATGTTAAGTCCAATTTCATGTTAATTCCAATATGATTTGTGTTAAGTCTAATGTCAGTTCCTATTAAATAAATTACCAGTTCATATTAAGTTCAATAAAACTTAACATGTTATGAATTACACCTAACATATACTTGCCACGCACTTAACTTGAAATAACATATATTTAACATGAATTGTAATTCTTACATAGCAAAGAAATCTCATTTAACATAAAAATACTTACAAGTTAACATAATACAAAACATAGTCTGTAACTATACAAGCAAAACACTTAACAACATACAAAACACTTAATTAGCAATAGGTTCGTTGCATGTTTTACGGTTATGACCTTCCATATGGCATCAAGAGTATTTAACTAACCGTGTGTAAACAGTTCTGTTGTTGATCTGTCTAGTTCTATTTCTCCTTTTTCTCGGACTTCGAGTCAGCTATCACCGCCTCTCGAGTCGACACGAAGGAGATCTCGTCTTGGGTCTCATCTCGGACTTCGAGTTGGCTATCATCGCCTTTCGAGTCGACATGAAGGTGTCGTCTTGTCTGATCGAGACGTCAACCACCTTTCGAGTCGACACAGGAGGTGTCATCTCATTTGGTTGATTGAGACGTCAACTTTTACTCAATTTATAGGGGCTGTAGGATTGTGATTCTCATTGTTGATTTGGTTCCTTAATTGATCTTTGGCATCAGATGATTCTCTATAGCTCAGATGATGACGTTTATCGCCTTCCTTTCAACTTGAGCTATGTGTGATACCCTATAGGTAAATTTTGACGCCTACATCGCTAAGCTCCCGAAACAGAGAGAAGATACACCTGTGTCATCTAGTGACAAAACTGTTGCACCTTACCATTTACACATGTTTAAGTTTATTTTTTGAAATGAGATGTAACTCGTGTTTTTCTAGAAAATAAAAACTGAATATTTTTTACAGTAATTAGCGTATTTGCACATAAAAATACATGTGAAATTAAGATTAACTTTTCATCTAAAATAATGTTTTTCTTGAATATTGGTTATGTTGTAAAAACTCAATGTTTGTAACTTAGTTGTACGTATTAGTGTAGGAAATATGATTTAGCAAGAAAATAGAGAAAAATAATCTCACTATAAAATTGGGGTTACATTTTTTTATGTCTTATATGATATATTTCAAAATTTCAAATAAAGTAGTAAAGATATTACAATATTTAGTAGAATAAATAAGAAAAAAGTTCACAATTAGTGGCATCCGATGAGTAATCATATGAGATATTTATGTTTAAAGGGAAAGTTTTAATGCAATAGATTTTTCTTATAGATGGTTTTACAGGTGTAAGGGACACAAATTCGTTTTGTTTCCATCCTTGGACGATATTATATACAACTTTTTTTTAGTCATAATTAAAAGTTTAGTGCTCATGAATAAAGATTTAGTTAACAAGTCCTTTAGAAATATGTTAATGATTAATGCTTCTATTAGTACAAATAGATGACATTTTTTTTTCAAATAAAGATATAGTTTAATCAATATTAAACAAGTAAAGAGAGAAAAAGAAAGAAACTAAAAGGGGGGGAAATGCAGGTCATGGACTTGTTGGATATAGGTGCCCTGCAGGCAATAATTGTATATTGTAACAGGACCTATATGAATATAACATCCTTATTTAAAATAATAATATGCTATTTTGGTCAGATTTATCTGGTATTTTAATACAGATAAAGTCCTTAGAATGATACTAGACTATCAGACATTTCGGATATGATCGTAATGAAGAGATCTGATTTGTCGCTAACGTATATTCTAAAATGTTCCTAGTCGATGAAGTGTTGAAATGAGACATCATCACTTTGGTAAGACTAGTGTATACTTTATTTCTCCTTTGGAAGGATGATGATCCATCTCTTAGATCATTGATGTGAGACATCAAGATATAGTATACAGGTGACTCATTAGTGAATGAGTTGACTGAACGACTCACTGAGAACATCTAGTTGGTAAGTATACTTAACTGTCAAATAGAAGTTCTCAAGTGATATATAGTACATAGTAGTCTCATGACCTGAGGCATGAGTGCAATATCTTACATGTCAGTATAGGTGTACTTAGACTTTTACCTAACCACAGTTCTCATCGAGTTGTGCATAACGGTTCTTGTTGGGTACATCCCGAGGCATAAGTAGATATTGAGATGCCAAGATGGGATTCGTCTCTCCCAGTATAGGGGGTTGATGTCATAAGATTGTTTGATATAACTATAACCTGAAAATCCTTGGCCGAGGTAAATAAGATAAACTGAGTGTCAGTTTTGATCTTATAGGTTATGAGTTTAATATCTACAAACACTAATTGAGCAATTAGGGTTTGACAGTTTTCCATACCCTAGGTTTAATAGTTTGACATGGTTTAACGAAGAGACCGGACTGTACGGCATTATCACTGAGTAAAGCCAGATCCCAAAAAGTTAGAGGCACGGTCAGTATTGTGTAAATTTGTAGGATATCCAAGGAATTCCCAAGGATATCAATTCTACCACATCGATGAACAAAAGATAGATCATCATCCTTCCAAAGGAGAAATAAAGTATACACTAGTCTTACCAAAGTGATGATGTCTCATTTCAACACTTCATCGACTAGGAACATTTTAGAATATACGTTAGCGACAAATCAGATCTCTTCAGGACTGACCCGTGACCCAAACTGCATTGGGTCGGGTCGGACCCGCCCCAGACCTAGACGGGTCATGGGCCGAGCTAGGTCCAGCCCCAAGTCTAGATTAGAAAAGTAGGCTCGACCCACTCTGACTCGACATGTTTGGGTCAAGCCCGACCCAGTTTAAGTCCGATCGGACCGGTTCACAGGTATAAACCGGCCTGGTCCACGCTCAACCCTACCTTATAAGTCTTTCTTGCTTCATAAAATTTTTATTTGATAATTCCTATGTTTGTCAACCAGTCAAAGGAGTGATTGCATTGCAAAAGCTTGTGCTTTAATAAGATGAAGACCTCAAAACAGTCAGGCCTGGGGGAAGAATACAGGACCTACTGGAAAATGATTGAGCTTTAAGCATAGATGAGCTGTGTATTTATCTTAAAATAAAATTATAACATTATAAAACTAAAGTATCTAATGTAAATGTACTTATAATATACTTTATTATTGGGAATGTAAACTAGCTTCTACTTTTTAATTCGCTAAATCAAAATATTGTTAATTTCTTCAATGTTTTAAGATAAATTGGGCATTGGGCGCAAAGTCTGAGGGGGGTTGGGGGGCTGGATTGGGGGGGTTAAAAAGCAAGGTGATATTATATGCAATTATGCGATTGTTTAGGGGAGCAATTGCACCCCTACCTAGGCTCAGTAGACATTTGCTAAATGTTTACTGTCAAAAGTATTTACATTTTGTTTAAATCGTGTAAAAAATATACATATTCTCCACCCAAATTAAATCCCGTGATCAACCACATATATCTCAGTATTAGTCCTCATAATTAATCAACTTAACTATTGAATTGAAGCAAGGTCTTTACAATATCACAGAAGAAGCTGTGACTCATGCATTATTTAAGCTTTGTATAAATTACTGCGTTAGACTATGAAAGATAAAAATACATCTGGAAGAACCAGTGACAGCTTGAAAAATCAGAGTACACAATGGAACTCAAATTTTTTGTTTTTTTCCAACTTGAACAATCAATAACTGTAATAAATACAAGACTCACAAAACCCTCATAAACAGAAAATTACAAGCATTACAAAGAACTTTTTAGCAGGCTATTCAGCCCAACACATCTGTACGTCAGCTTCTTTCTTATATAGCAAAGACAATTGGAAAAAAGAAGAAAAATTTACAGAAAGGTAAGTTTTAAAAAAATAAAAAATAAAAACACTACCGCCATCTGTAATTTCTTCAAGCATCACTATAATCCCTTCACTTCATCTCCAACAATCTTCAGCTCCAGTAAGAAAAGAGAGCATCATAATCACTTTACAAGATGCACCCATGCCTACTCAAGCCAAAAGACCAAACAATCTCATACCAACTCCACATTTCTCTAACACAAAATTGATCATGAACCACGAGCATCCATCTTCAACATCACACCAACCAAGGGACCGAAACATCATCTCACCCGGCTAAGTTTCTCTTTGTAATTCAATCAATACTTGAACTCGGTGAGTAGTAGTTCGTTGTGTGGGTCGGCAGTTGATCATGTACGATGTTGGGTTATCGGGAAATTCCTCTAAGAGGCCTCGGCCTTTGCCTCGGCCTTAAGATCGTTTCATCGCTGTGCCGAATCCATTCAGACAACCTCCAAGGTTTCTGCCATTTCCACTTGAACTGTAGTAGCCATTGATGATGGCTGCGCTTCCATCTCCAAAGCTTACCAGATTGCCCCGCTACTGTCAGCTTCTTCCCCATTGAAAGATGACCTACTGGGACCATCTACAGTGCAATAATAGCTCTTGTTATAGCAACCTGGGGGGGAAATCAAGAAATTTGGTCATTATTAAGAGAAGAAGATGAACCTTCAGTGGCTGGTTGCTGAAGTTTGCAGTTCCTTTGCTTGGACTATTTGCAATGCCAGCTGTATATTTAAGCTGCTTTTGTGCTGGTACTGCCACCGGGGATAGCGGGGCACTGGTTTCATCCGCACAATGCTTTAGGGAACCATTTGTATTGCTCTGAAACATACATTCTAAGATTTTAGACAAATAACCCTAGCTGAGGGGCTAAAGGCAAGTTAGCTGATTTCCATCCGAAAATGAACTGTATATGGGAAATGAAACAGCAGTTGCTGCAGTCACGTAAAATGATGCATCTGTTATCTAAATACTAAATAGGAAGGATTAATGATTGTGTACTGCTTGAGCTCAATTAAACTTTAATGGTTCTCGGGGATGAGAACTTAACTGGTTTTTGGTTGAGGAAGATGCTTTGAACTCCTATACTTCTATCAAAAATAAATGCAGAAGAAGCAACCACATAGCAGGATTGCCTTAATATCCAAGACTAAGAAACTGTAACTGTTACAAAGTAAATACAAAGTAATCTGCTATGATTGTTCAATCCTTGAGAACTCTTTGTTATACATCGTTGTAAACTTTAAAAAGTTAGTAAGAAGTTTGATTTTTGAAGGTATAGTAAGTTAATTTGTCTACAAACAGCAAACATATAATCTTACTGTAGGCATTGTGGCCAATGCAGTTGCAAGAGACTTGTTCTGCTTTTCCACTTCTTTTCTCCGCGCTTCACTCTGTCGAAGAATACCAACAAGCTCAGTCATTTGCTCCTTAAGCTCCTTGGTTTCAATTTCTCTCTCCCTTAATTGGCATCTGTTTACAATACATAGATCACTATACAGAGCTTGAATGGGTAAAGTAGACTAAAGAATGCACAATATGAGAAGATAACTTATTGAAAAGGAAGACCAAACAAGCAATTGAAATATAACCCTTCTTTTATCCCAAAGAAATTGTTAACTCAGAATCAACCTTCATAGATAAAAGTCTTACTAACATAAATGAATCACACGCAAAAAGAAAAAAAAAAGTATTTGTTTTTAATACCAACCTTGCATCTGCAGCAACATTAAAAACATACTGAAGCAAGCTCCTTGCATCTCCCAGTGATCGCAACTGGTTCCACCGTCCACGACCACTAAATGCACGTTCTCTCTCCTCAGCTTCTGAAAGTTGTGAAGCCATTGCCACCAAAGTATTTGATGAAATACTCACCATGTTCTCAAGCGATGATATTCTCGCCATTCTTGCATTTGGTGACATATTTGATACTCTGATAAAGAAAATAACAAGATGTAAAATGTTGATACAATTTTATTACTAAATGATTTACAAAGATCACTTTTTCCAATCAATACTTCAAATGGGCAACTTAAGGTACCTGCTGTTTCCATTCCTCCCTCTAGGGGAGCTAAGTCCCCCAGAAATTGCTTCTTCTTGTTTTAAAACTGCAAGCTCTTCAGCCATTGCCGCTCGTCTAAAGCCAAAGCAATAAACATAATCAGGAAAAGCTGACCCAAGATGAACTTAGACAACGACAGACCACCAAAAAAAGCTTTAATTTTATGTAACATACACTTGACTTTGCTTCTCATATTCAGCACGAACTTCATGCACATGCACCATAACCTCTAGCTCATGATCTAGCCACCGCTGCAATGACTTCTCATTTACCTGAAGATTTAGCAACAACTCAGTGAAATTTTAAATAGTGTAGTCTACAGTATAAATAATAGTAAACAATTCTGTTACCGGAGTGCCTGGCGAGTTTCCATTTGCAATTGCTAGAATATAAAGTATCATGTCAGTAACAGATTATAACTGGAGAAATTCATCAAGAAAGTGATAGAAGAAGAAAATACCAGAGTTTTCACGTGATGAGGATTTGCGAGCTTCCAGCAATTCTTTCAACTTCTTGGTTGCCATGGCAGCCTCTTCTGTCTTCCTTTGAAGAACCTACGAGAAAAGACTTCCTAAATCGGTTTCTTCGATTCATTTCTCTAATGCATAGTGTTGCAAAAGTTCAATATAAGCCAAAAAATTCAGAGAAAACATAGATACCAATTTCTGTCTCTGATTCAAGGCCTGGAGTTTATGCCGTTCATACTCATTTCTCCTTCCTTCTTTCTTTAACTGTTGGACAAGAGAGTTCAAGATTACAATGAAATTCACAAAATTTATAATAGTTTAAATTAATACAGAGACCATATGCAAACATCAACGTTACAATTTGACTGTCATAGCTAAATCAAAATAGTCATAAATAAAGATGATAAAACTTTTCTGAGTCGACTGAAATGTTAAGCACCATGCTAAACAAATATTCTATAAACTTAAATTTAAGAAAAAGTATATAAGTTAATTAACACATTATCATTTTTTTTCAGGAGTAGCATCATCTAATATCAGTTTATGCTGGAAGGAATAAAAGGACCTTGAAATAGGATGTCATAGGTCATCTTGAATGCAAATATAGAGTAATATATACTTGCCAGAAGTGATTAATATACATGTGAGTAGAGTCATTTATTAAGTAACAGTAATATTTCTCTATAACATGATCTTCAAATATCTAAATGCTCATAATTTCTCACTTTGTGACTCCGATATAATCATATGTCCAAAAGCAACAGAAAATCACGTCCAGAAAGCTACATAATTCTTAAACAAAGCTTCAGTTTGAGAAGGTGGAAATAATAACACATTTTTCTAATTTCTCATCAAAGACTTGTCAGGTATACAAAGTTCTTTTTTCTGCTTAAATGTGCTAAAAGCAGTACTGCAATAATCTTTTTTCCAAAAAAATTGCTACGACTTAGACTAAAATAATGACTTCTTTGAGAATGCCTTTTTGGGTATCATATCAATATTTGGACCATTACTTCTGGAAAAAGGTACTTAAGTATGAACGGAAGCATGACACTAATGTAATAGTTACTCTACGTATATTTTGAACTGGTGATGCACCTGGAGAAGCTCTTTCTCTCGAGAAGCCTTCCACTGTCGAAACTGTTCTGCCTCTTGTTTTATCTTGTGTTGCAATTGAACCTGATATATAAATTGTTAGCAGAAAATATAAGATAAAAAAATCACCAAGATAGAAGAAGTATCCACAATGTTAAATATGTAAATTGATGAATGATCAAACCTTTTGTGCCTTGATAGATTGAATTTCATCCTGCAGCTTTTTAGCTGCTTCTTCGCTCCTCTGCTTTTGCTTTAAAAGCTGCACTTGATTTTCTTGTTTCTTCTTAAGATCCAATATCTGAAAAGACTTGTTTAGAGCCTTTAGAATGAAAAGGGATCACAAAGCTGACCACAATAGTGATTTTTTTTTTTTCAACCTGTGCTTCAAGTGACTTCAATTTCTGCAGGTGAATATCAGGATGCTTGTGAGCCTGTCCATCTGGGGATGCAAGGCTTTCCACTTCAGCCAGCAATCTGTCTCTCTCTTGCTGAAATTGTTTTTTAAGTGCATATATTAGAAGGAAACCCACGAGCCTATATGACCATTAGTACAAATTTATTTCCATGATATTTCTAACGACCTGTACAGTTTTCTTCTCATCTTCAAGCTCCATGAGCTTCTTTCCAAAGTGTTGCTTGAGAGCAAATGTGTCAGAACCACCGAACATTTTCATCTCAGACTGCAGATGTTAAAGCCATTATCATTTATCAGCTAGTAATATTGGAAACTTAATAGAATAGACATTAAAAATTGTATTAACAGGATGTTTTAGGTTACAGATGATCAAAATTTTAAGAATCTATACAGTCAATTTCAAAAAATGTGTTTAAACCAGAGGAAGATTCCAATATGTTTCCTATGGTTATCATTATTATATTATGTTCCCAGTGTACTGGTTTAAAATACTGGAAATCTCCTGCTCATCAAAGGATCACATGTTTCAGCAGCTCAGGATGTTCTACAGAAAATACAAAAGAAAATTGTAACTGGTCGAAATTTCCTAAGTTACCTCTTTCTGCTCAAGACGTTTATTTAGTTCATTCAACTCCTTTCCCATAGTATCTTGCAAGATTGAATGCTCCCATTCTTTTGCTACTTCTTCATCAATATCCTTGGAATTATCACCTGTGGACATTATAAATAGGAATTCATCTGTCAAGTATTAAATTGAATACTCTAAATTCTTCATATTCCAACAGATTGGTGCATGTGAAAACCTAAAAGAACACTAGATACATACTATAGACACATGCTGAGGCAGACACTTACATTTCAAGCTATCAGTCATTGGATAATCAAATGTGTCTGCACTCTGCAGGCTCCTCTTTAGGCCTTCAGCTTTCATGAAGCCATTTCGACCTTTCTGAAGAATTAAGCGCAAAGTAATAAGATTTACCACAATAGTGACTCTTCTTACTTAAATATTATCACAGCAGAAACAATGTCGCTGTAAGTTTAGAAGAATCATAAAAGTTTCGGAAAGTAACTTGGACATCTGTTTCACATTGATCAGTATTAGTGCTTTGGCTGCGGTACTCGTCAAGTTCCCTACAAAGATCTTCATTAGTAGCTTCAAGCCACGAAATTCTCTCTTTGAGGACCTACACAATAAAATATAATATGAAGTCAATCCTTATATCAAGGAGAATCTGTGGCTAGACAGCTAATAACAGAGACATGTAGCAAAATTTTGATACAAAACCTGAACTTCATTGGTTGGAGCCCCTCCACTGCGAGCAAGCAGCTCTGCCTGCAAGAATTCAAGTTGCTGCCGCATCCTTTGCATCTCAGCTGACATTGGGTTCCTGTTTACCTGAACAAGGAAATTGAAGAATCTTTCAAAAATTAGGAACTTGAATAGAGAAGAACCTCTCGTATTATGTAAAAAAAACTAGCAATGTAAGTGAATATATTTTTAATTTTATCTAGCGAGAGAAACTCACAACAGGTTTATTCTGAATGTTGCGAGCCCGATTAGCATACTTTAGCGTATTAAGAGTTTCCTCTGCGTTGATATCTGCTGGGCTGATGCAGGCTGGAAGAAGAGCCAAGTTAGAGGATGTATGAAAAGGTACAAGCACTGACAGACAATCAGTTATAAAGTTATCCTTGCAACAGTTTATATAAGTTCTTGCTACACATAAAGTAAAAGTGAAAGACATCATTACCATTTTACCAATATTACAGTAAAACTTGCATGAACCAATATAAATTGAGCAAAGACAACTGAATAACTTTGATTGAAGGACAGACAAAAAAGATTAATTTACAATATATAAGGATGAAACTATCATGTCTTGATCATGCAAGCATGCTAATATATGCTGTAAAAATGATAGTTGTGAATTATCAGGTAATTGACAGACTGAATGATGAAATGGCAACTCAGGATAAATGATTATGTTACCTATCATAAAAGTCCTGCTATTTCCACCAAGTGAGTCCTGCCAAAATGGAAATAAAAATAAATATACAGAACACATCACCAGAGAATACAATTCAAATTGTAAGGAAAACACAAACGTGACTGAAAATGAGTTTTTTACCCCATAAATAAGAAGTTTGGCCAAAAACTATCTTACTTCGATATGCTAGAGAAGTGACTCTATTGACCCATTTGAACATATCAGGATCCTCATATGCATGATATACAGAAATCTAGGAATGTTGTGATTTGACACCTAGAAAGGAGCTAAGATAATTGTTACTCGTGGCAAGTGCATTATTTCTATAGTTGTATCAGACAATCCATTATTGCAGCAGTTTTCTTGAACCCGAATCAACAGTGACATGTTTCTGTATGTACCCTAAACACTAAGCATAATGGGAAAAACTACAGACGAGAAAATGGAAAAGGTTGACAGTCAAGAGAATTGGGCATATGTTTCCATATTTAACATCAACACAAAAATAGAAGATTTCAAAATAAAGGACACCCTCTAGTCAGGCAGACTCTTCCCCTGGATGAAAATTCCACGCCTCAGATTGCAATGTGGTTGCATGCCAGAGTTTTATCTAAATTTTCCGAGTATGCTTGACCCTCAGGATTCAATTATTGAATAAGAGTTGCAGGCCGAGCTTTGAAATCTCGTTGTAAGTGAGTCAATATTTGGTAAGTGGAAATCAAGGATAATAAACATTGACAGATCCTGGCTTCCTCCTTTAACATATAAAAGCAAGGATCAAATAGTGAAATAGCATAATTTAGATAAAAGATATTTATAGTAATTTAATCCTATATATAAAATATCCATGATTCTTTGTTTTTTCTTCTTCCATTTAGTTCTGAAGTTTCCACACTTCTCCACTTCATGAATCATCTTCTTCTTAAAGACTATTTTCTCAACATACTAATGAACAATCCGTGCTGCAGAAGGACGTCACTACATGGTCAGAAAAAAAATTCATGAAAACACAAATGGAATGCAACCTGCAGAAGTCGAGTGAGTTTGCTGTCACGGTAAGGAACATGGGCACCTTCTTTCCGCTTTTTCTCATCCCCAAGAGCACTTATAACATTGCCAAGTGCCAGAAGCCCCCTGTTGATGTGGACCCCTGAATAAAGTTGGCATATGAAACTTAGTAGAATCCTTATATTTTATTGAAGTTTATATTAGACAAGTTAGAAATAAAAAAGAATCTACCTTCCTTGAATCTCAAACCATCTGAACCAGTTCTCTTTGCACGTTCAGATCCAGCAAGATCTACAAGATGAAGCTTTGCACACAGATAATCATCTGTGACATCTTCCATCGGAACACCATCAGTAGTAGAAAGTGGATCAAGTTTACGCATCTGCTCTAATGTGATTGTGAAGATGGCATGGGAACGACTATAAAAGATTTGAAACAGAAAAATGAATACAATTAGAAATGATAATTTGGGATTCCAGCCATGATAACAATCTAGTTCATCAAAAGAACAAACTATTATTGAATGGATGCATTTCAAGCAATTGAAAATTTTAAAGAGTGCAATGCACAGTTATCTTCATAAAATTTGTTACCATCTTACCCTGATAAATTTTGGTTTATTCTAGAATATGCTGGGTGATCTCACATATATTTGTTAACTCTTTGATGACGTTTGGTACTCATGGTCATAAAGTTCTAACAGAAAAAGCCACATCATGTTCAAGAAAAAGTTTATTTATAAAGAGAGCCACAGTTTGTGTCTAGAAATACTAATACAGGAAGTTTAAGAAAGAACAGCAGTAAATATTTTATGTGGTGCAGCTCGTTTTTTTTAAAACAGGTCAGAAATCTGAATTTGCATCAAAGGTGGCCATGAAAAATAACCTGAAGACTTCAACCAACCAACATAACACCCTAACAACATCTTTAAGTCCTAGACCAGATATCTTTTTCACTTCCATAATGAAATATTTATTGTGCTGGCATGAAACAAATAATCGTACAAGTTAAGGTTATTATCCTTGTAAGTGAATTAAACAAAAAAAAACCACCTATATACAAGTATTATACATAAACTAATTTCTTCATAAAAACATTTAGATGAAAAATAATTTGTAATGTAACTTATTTTAAGGGCCATAGAAGAAAGTGAAATTGTAGGTCTAAAATCATATTGGATATTTGATACTAGGTACATGGTACTAACCTTGATTGATTGTTCATATTTGTACTTCCAGTTGCACGACTAAATGAACCTTGTTCAAGGCATGCAGCCATTTCCTTTTGAGAGCTAACATAAACTTCCGTAGATCCAGCGAGTGTTATAACTCCATTAGATCCCTCACGAATTTGTACAGGAGGCTTTCCTGGTACAGTAACTTTTCCGGCATGTCCATTGCCATTCTCAACTTTTCCAGCTGATGCAGGATCCAGCAAATCTCTCACTTCTTCTTTTAGAATCTTCACGTTCAAAGATATAATTAGATCTCAATAGAAGACAATGTTAAGTTGTAAATAGTATAATTGTAAACCAATAACAATGTCATACATGTGCAAACAGAACAGAAGTTTGCAAATGTAAATGCAACAACATAATAGATAGCAAACTAAAAGACACTTAGATTTGGTGTACCGTAGTGTAAACTGTTGACCACTAACTAACATGTAGTATATCTTACTGCCAGTCTCTTCAAGAAGTTCACTTTCTTGTAACCATTTTTAAGAAAAAGAAAAAAAAAAGACTGCCTCTGCAAAAAGAGGAGAGTCATGCTTCCAGTTGTGACGTGTGAAAGAAAAAAACAGAAACCAATAAGGCCATCCTTTCTTCAACAAAAAGTGCTTTTCTTTTTCCTATGTAACACATTAGTTCATGTTCACTCAAACAAGGAGGAGTAACACATGACTATAAAATTTTAATTAATGTGATATGGAAGTTGC